CCCAGCCAAAACCAGCACATTCTCCACCCCTTATTTCATACCATTTACATCATGCTCAGGTCCCACACTATCCAATACATTCTCATTACTCACCCACCCCCTTTCCGTGCTTTGATATATCATTCCCTTAGTCTATGGACCACCCCTGTGACATGTCTGCAAAATGTCCATAAATGTCCACAAAATGTCCATTGAGTTCATCTAGTCCATGACTTTGGGCTCCGTCTGTTATGGTGGTCACTCAGGACAGGAGAGGTGGTGTGTTGCATGGAGTTACTGGGCACCAAAGCCAGCTCAGGTCGGGTCACTGCTGCACTTGCACTGCTTCTTGTAAGGCTTGTCCTCCATTGGTTCAGGTGGTTCCTGCTATAGTAATTCCTATAACATCCAACTCAAATCCCGGGTTACAACAATGTAAAGGTATATCCATTACAGTCTCCACCCCTGGTCCCTTTGGGCCAGGTTATGGGGTTTAACGTTGCAATGAACTCCTCCCCTTGCTCCTAGCCTGGCTAGCAACAAAGGGGTTCCTGCTACAGTAATTCCCATAATGTGCGACTCAAATCACGGGTTACAACAATTTAAAGGTATTTCTGTTGTAATCTCCACCCCTGGTCCCTTTGGGTCAGGACATAGGGTTTAACAGTTTTTGTAAACTATCATAAAACTGATGATCTGGCATGATTATGACTGTCCTTTCTATTTTCCAAAAAACTAGGAAAAGGTTCTAATTTAGAAACTATTTCGAGTAAGGTGTCCAGTGTAGAAAATACTTGCTCAGATCTATTTCAAATACTGTTTGAGCCCACATAAAATCACAGAAGTCTTATTAAAGTTGAACTACATTGACTTAACTTTAAATTGTTTCAGCTTGATGGGGTTTACAGAGCTAACTGAGGAATCCCAAAGAGCTGATACGGCTCATAACAGTGCATGTGATTTGTGAAGCTTTTCTGTTAGAGATTATATTAGTTAAAGAGCATCACACTTGAATTTCTTTTTCTTGTTTAGACTTCATATGTAGACTTGCTTTATTTAAAAAACCCACACCTGAAACAAATCAAACTGATAAAAATGTATCACTGTTGTGGGGGGGAAAGCAGTTAATTTATTTTTCTTTCAGGTTGTTTGTGTTCCACTGTGGATCTTGATGTCCTTTCTGTGTCTAGTAGTGCTCTATTACATTGTATGGTCTGTTCTATTCTTGCGCTCTATGGATGTGATTGCTGAGCAAAGGAGGACGCACATAACAATGGCTGTCAGCTGGATGACCATTGTAGTTCCACTGCTCACATTTGAGGTAGGAAAAAGCATAGCGAGTTTTATGGATCTTGTTCTTTTTTCAGTGAGTGATGAATGTTGCTGTGTCTCTTTTTGAACTTACTAAAATGAAAGTACTGCTTTTTGTTTCAGAATAAAATATTAACAGCAAATATGAAAGAAACCCAAGAATTCTATGTTTCTTTAAAGTTTTTTGAGTAAAATATGCATCACATTGGAACTGTAACTGTTTCTGTGGAGGCCGTTTTTCTTCATGGATGTGTGAAGTTAAAGATCTGAGATCAGCATATGTTTTAAGAAGCTTGAAAGTGGGTATTGCAATTAAACTGACATTGTATATTTTTTTTGCCATTTAGATCTTACTAGTGCACAGACTGGATGGGCATAATTCTTTTTCTTTTATACCCATATTTGTTCCTCTCTGGCTTTCACTGATAACTTTAATGGCCACAACATTTGGACAAAAAGGAGGAAATCACTGTAAGTATTTAAAAAATCATGGAAACAGCTTGAAATGCAAGGCTTAAATGTATTTCATTAAGTTTTGTATTTTCAAAACAGGCTTTTGTGTGTATATTCTCTCATGAACGAATTCAGATGTGTCTGTTATTATTGTTTTCAGGAGACTTTAAGTTTTCAGTGGTTATAGTGTCTCTTGCCTTTTTTTTTTTCTTTTTCCTGTAAGAGCATGGCTGCTGCTTGGACTCAACTTGAAATCTCAATGGGATTTTAATTGTAACTTAAGACTTTTATCCTTCCTTATTTCCGTGGGTTTCATTCTCACGGGACGTGACTGGATCTTTCTGCTCTGGGTTCTGAAAATCATGTAGCACCTACCATTTTTAATTAGCATTTGTCCTAGTAGCCTGGACTAGTATTCTCTTTCCTCTTTGGCCAAGTAGTGCTCTGTGCTGCTTAGTTGTAACTTCAGTTGCCTGAGTGGCCAGTGTAGATTTACTAGGCTTTTATCCCCACCACAGCTAGCACTGCTGAAAGGAGCATTTGCACTTTCAGCCATGTAAAGTTACTGAACCAGTGCAGATAAGTAGCTTTTCCCATCCATGTTGCAGTTCGTCTTCCTTTTTCACAAGGCAATAAAATTTGTTAGGATTTTTCAGAGTGGAAAGGAACCAGCTGTGATGTTTTGTTATATAAACTCACTTCATTTTTGGTCCGATTGTGAAATATATTGAGAATTTCTTTCTTCGGTCATGACTAAGCTTACCTCCATACATTTAGTTTACTTTTATATTGTTATTGTATGGAAAATTGTTACTGGTGTTTGTTTTTTTTTTTTTTTTAAATGCATGCCCTCGATAATTTATGGCCAAGTTAGTCTTTTGGAAAGCCACATGTCTGCTTTTTCTTCTGTAGGGTTAATAAATATTTATGTAATTTTTTAAAAAAGTCTATTCATTTGAAGTGAGCCTCAGAAGACTTGCATGAAAATCCACTGTTAAAGTGCTAAGCGGAATACACTAGTTGGCCATGAAGTATAATCTCTGCAAAAAGATGGGTTGTATGGGATCTTCCCTGGCAAATGCTTAATACCTTGCTTTCGTTCAGTGGAAAGACTTAACGTGGGCAGGCTGTTCCTTTTAACACTGACCTTTGGTATTGGTTAATAGAGGAGTGCCATCTGCTGAATTACAAGTGCTGCTTACTTAAATGCTCTCTTTCAAAGTCTTTGCATATAGCAAAATACATGACAAACACAGAATGTGTACTGTTTTCTAATCTAGTGCAGGTAATACCAAGGATGAGATACTCCTGGCATCGCATATTTGGCTAACAACAAAAGTATTTGGGGAATACTGAATAGATACATTTACTAATCTGTGTCTGCCTATGCCATCACGTTCCCTCTGGTATTGTAACCTATATGTATCAAACAAAAGTTGGCATGAATGTCTTCCCATGTGACACTGATTACTTTGATTGAGATGCAGAGTCTTTTGTGTTCTTTCTCTGTGGACTGATGTGACCTGACACTGCTTAACATGTGAAATGAAATGGATTCTTGCTGTGGTAGTATAGCTGTAATTTATACATATGGATATACACACACAGACATGCATGTACAGACATGCAGAGGCATGCAAATACATGTATATATTCTGTATGTATATCTGTATATTATCTGAACTAATATTATATGATAGGTGTAAGTAACACACTGAGAAGCAGCACTAACAAATTTTATATTGTTCATATGCAAACAGTCAAGAGAACTTAAATGAGATTGCATAGTCTGCTCACTTAATTACATTTTGGTTCTGTTCTGCACTAATGGGAAATGATTTTTTTTTTAGGGTGGTTTGGAATTCGCAAAGACTTTTGCCAGTTCCTGCTTGAAATCTTCCCATTCTTACGAGAATATGGAAATATTTCATATGATCTTCATCATGAAGATAATGAGGAAACTGAAGAAACACCACTGCCTGAGCCACCAAAAATTGCACCAATGTTTCGAAAAAAGACTGGCGTGGTCATTACACAGAGTCCTGGAAAATATGTGATTCCACCTCCCAAATTAAACATTGATATGCCAGATTAAGATCACAGTAGCATATTAAGCCTGAACTGGGAATCAGAAGATAAATGTATTTCATCTCATGCCTTGTCCCAATTACTTTAAAATAGGTATTGCTGAATCAGTGGCTTGGATTACACAAATCAGATCTTGAAGATAATCTGAGAGCTTTTCCAGAGATACGTGGTGGTGTAACTTGTGAACCTTCCTAACGGGTTGGTTGCACGCTTGCCTGTATAGTATTTATATGAACGTTTTAGCAGTGTAATATATTGTTTAAAAGTCTTGTCATGTACAGTGTAAGTATTATCTAAAAGTATTTTTTTAAAAACTCTGTATGAAATGCCTATGCTATTCCAGGTGTCTTTTAGGTCCTAAATATACACTTGATTTCTATGTCTGTTTTAAATGCTTTGGGGATGTCTTAGTATAGTACCTCTTTACTTCTTTTTCTGTTCAGCCACAATCATTGTCTTAACTGCAGAGGCACAGGAGTGTTGCACTTAGGCAAGACTGGAAAGCTTTTTTTGGGGGAAGTAGAATGTATAGTAACTTACATGAAGTTTTTGAGTTAGCTATGTAAATTTTCATGTAAGTATTTCAACTTTTGCACTAGCTTGGGAGTTAAGTGTTGCTTTTGTTGCTTTTCTAGTTTCATGTGTTAATAATTCTTTGAGCAGCATGTACACCATTCTCTCATTAGACCGGCTGTTTAATAAGCTGTTCCCTCTTGTTGTGCATGCAGTCTATGCCAGAAACATTAGTTGTAGGTTTTACAGCTGTCAGTTAGCTGGTATAAATATCATAGCTTGGTCTTCATTACCAACTTTGTGTTGGTGTAAATGATTAAACTTTTCAAGATAGGAACTCATCAGTGTTGGTACAGCATTTTCTTGTTTGAAGAAAGACCTCCTTTGACAGATTGTCTTGGACTTCAGGTGCTTTAGAGAAATTTACTCTTTGAAACCTATACTCCAGTATAGGTTTAGTGTAACAACAGATGTTGGATACTCCCACATCCTTGCAGCTGCTCTTCGTGTTTAGGTGAATTCACAGTTTAGGTAGCTTAAATACCGTGGATCATGTTTCCTTCGTGTTAGCACGGCAATGAGACAAGAGCAAAGAGCATATGGACATTTCTGCATGTGTGAAAGGTGCACACCTGAAAAACTTCACAGATGTGGCGCTTTCATTCCTAGCGCTGCAGACCTCTCTCTTCTTCCCTGTGGACCAGCTACTGGCTGAAACCCAACACAGCACTGTCCTATCACTACACTTAAAATTTCAGTGCAGTTTTATTTACTTTTTGCCTCGAGTAAAAAAAAAAAATCTGTAAATGAAAAGCAACACTTGCCGCTGCTGTTTCATGTCACTAGGAAAGGGATGCTGCTCTGTGATGTCACAGCAGCGCAGCATGGGTGTTTGAGAATTTTCACTTGGGATTCTCAGTCAGTTGGTCACTTCCTTTCAGCTGGCTGTCTGACAGGACAGTCTAGCTGCTAGGGATCAGCTGAAAAATTTACTCAAACTGAGAAAAAAGAATTGAAAATGGAGCTTTCCTCATCGGAAACTTCATGTGATTCTGTTCTGGCCAAGGGAGCTGATTCGTCAGGCTCGACTTCTTCTCTCTGTCCAGCATGTGACAGAAGAGCAGCTAGTGATGCTGCCCTTGGACCTCCAATAGAAGAAAGGTCTTTACAAACTTCGACTAAGCAACCCTGGTCAAAAAGAGAGCATCTGAATTCATCTGAGGAGAGCTTGAGCAAAGGCGATGCCTCTACACGCTTCAGCTTTTTGAAGAAGCTTTGGGACACTGTTGAAAGCGATCGGTTTGAGTCCATTTGGTGGGGTGACAATGGAAAGTGTGTAGTGATTCATGAAGAATTGTTTGAAGAGGAAGTACTAGCAAGGAGAGGACGTCTGAGAATTTTTCAAAGTGAGAGCATGAAAAACTTCATCCATCACCTCCATCTGTACGGATTCACCAGAAAGCTGTGGGATTTTCCAAAATCGGGCTCACGCAATGACTTGCTAGCAGAAGAAACAGCTAGGGAGGTATGTTGGATCCTCTACATGCAAACTAACTCTCAGAATATTCTAGTGGGACAGATTTCTGTTCCAATGAAATAAGCCTTTACTAATAGGAGATGAGGACGGTAGCAAATGTTCTGATTGTCATTTTGTTTCTTGGCTCATGTTCAGGAGTTTTTGAGGTAGCATTTCTGAGTAGTAGAAATGCTGATAAAATATACAAAAATATACATTGGTTATTTCCACCTACTTTGAACACATAAAATGAAAAGATATTCTCATCGTATTGGGATTTTTTTTTTGGTGTTTGCTAAGTAACTTGCTGTATCAGATCTGCAGCTTTCTTGTGGCATTTGCTGGAGGCTGAGAAGGTACGTGGCAGCATCATATAGTTACGTACATGTCCATTCCATGCCAAAGTTGCTGAAAAGTAATGGTATTTGGGTTTCTAAATCAGTTTGTATGCTTTTGAAAATCCTGCACTTCTCTGCTACCAAGCGGTAAAACCACAATACTGGTTACTATTAACAGGACTGTATCGCACCATTTTATTCAGCCTAAACTTCAGGTTTAGAACGCCCCCGATAGTCCTTTTTAGTATCCACATTTCTCTTTTGCAATTAAAATTCTTAGTTCTTGTATCTTTGCAGTTTCCAGTCTCAAGGTGGTGGCAACTCTTTTCCTTTCCATTTTTTAGTTTCAATTCTACTACAACCCGAATTTTCAAAGACATTTTCTGTATCTGCTACTGAAGTATAAGCAAAGGTTTGGTCCAAAAAATCGAACACCAGCAGGATTTTCACCGGACATGGATTTGCATGCACACCGCCAGAAAAGAAAACCAGATGTTGAGCTTGCGTGGGAAACCACTTTCGAGGAGGAGAGCGGTCCGTTCACAGCAGGTCCAAGGGGGAACATGCACACCTCTGCAGCCAGGAAGACGGCACCTGCCAAGCGACGTGCCAAGGCAGCTACCCGACTCAGACGCGCCTCTACATCTGCAGGCACTGCTGCTCTGACACATTCAGACCCTGCGGCAGCAGGAGGCGGGGAGAAGCCCAGTCCTCTGGCTCCCTCCCTTTTGCTGCAGGCTGCCGCCCAGGGTGCTGCTTCTGGAGGCGCCGTGCCGGCTGTGCCCCACAGTCACTTTCTGCCAGAGCTGGCACCTCCCACCTCTCCACCTGTGCCGGCAGCAGCTGCTGCTCTGTCTATGCCAAGGCCACCGCAGGGCCAAACTCCACCGTACTGCCACTGCCCGACTTGCACTTGTGGTCCAAACAGCGGACCCGCAGGCAATGGCCTTGGACCCCAACCCAGGGCATGCTAGGTACCTTCCACAGCTCTTTTAGAAGCTGCATAGTCCAAGGGAATAGTTGCCTAAGTGTTCCAATAAACTACCTGAATACAAAGCCTTTGCCAGTTGTCCTGTCCTCTCTTTATGGCCATGCCTGTGCCTGCCCTTGGGCTTTGCTCCAGAAAGTCAAAAGGATTTCCATTGTAATGCAGGGTGTGAATTTTGAAAAACCCTGGAAGTGCCAAAATTAGTGACTTCTATTTGTTACTCTTCACATTTGTCTTTAATTCAATATTAGATTTTCAAAGCTTACTAATATTTTTCATCTTAAATGACAGAAAAATATTATAATACTCACTTCACTTAATTTTGTACAAGCACCTTCTTTGCAATAAAGGCCTTTCTACACAGGCTGTTGGGTCACAGAGCTGTATACTGCAGACTGCTCCCCCCATCATATGCATGTCTAATATACATAACCTGTGAATGAGGAAAATCTGGTCCTTTCTGGAAGTTTTACATTTACAGCACATAACACACACCATGCACAGAAACTTTGTCCAGCAAATCTCTGCCTCTGTTTGAGAAGCCCCTAGGACTGGCCTTATCTCAGATGCTTTCTTTCTCAATGATCCCACAAATGTAAGGTTAGGAGTGGGCTGTGAGATGGATGTCATATTAATGATGGCAGCCTGCTTTCAAGCACCATTTTTCTGAAGGGTCCTACAAACTCTCTCTTCCTCATATAATCAGAGGTTGCATGCATCATAATATGGTTGTATTTACATTTTAAACTGGCACACAATACCTCAACCATGTCTTTAAAAAAAAAATCACATATATAGGAAAAATCTAGTAAACCATTAATAATTTCCAGTAATGGTCATAAAAATTATATCTTATTTTGCCTCAAAAGAGTAGTTCTTCAAGTGTATTTGCTATTTCAAACAATTAGTTTTGGAAGGGAGTCCTAAACAACTCACTGATATTCAAGATGCTGACTTGTGAATTACAAGTTTGCATTTAGGCACGAAAAATAATAGTGAGGGCCAACACCTATGCTTCTGAAGGGATCAATTCTTCGGGGATGTCCACCTGCCACACACCTTTTCCCCCTCTGGCAGGAATCGGTTCCAGGAGCCATCTTGGATTTGAAACAACAGTCAAGTATTTCTGTTCTAGATTACTGAGGACAGCTTTGTTTTCCAGCTCCAGAATCTTTTCAGGAGGCAAGTTTTCTGGATATAGTGATGTCTCTCCAATGTCAATTAGTCCTGTATTATAAAATTAAAATATAAAATTAGTTGGTTGTTTGATCTCCTCGAGAAAAGTTTTCCAAAAGTAAACCTCCCAGAGGATGTACAGAACAGCTGATTTGTTACCAGAAGAACACAGTATGAAGCATGCACCCCTCAAACCAGCGTCATTCACTGCAGAAGATGGCCTATGTGACTGAACTTAGGTCGGTGAAGAACACGTGAAGCATGCAGTTACAACATTCACAACTCTATGATCTGGAATTCTGTTAAAAGAAGCCTGCATCTAAGGAGATACAGCTGCTACCAAAACTCCTGAGCTACATTTGGCCTTGAAACAGCTTCACTAAAAATAAAACACTCTCTGCTCCTATCAGGACACTATTCTATTAACATTTTAAAATCATTAAACTACATGGAAATTCCTGCTCTCTGGAACCCTTTTAATGTCACGAAAGGGAATTTCTATATTGCTTAATGATTAAAAACATTAAAATAAAGATCAAAGAAGCTTTGATACCTACTCTACAATTTAGCGTGCGATTTATGTCAAGGTTACAAATCTGTATATTATGTAGTACCTAACAGTTTTCAGCACTGTAGATCTACAACAATTTTTCGGTGTATGCGATAGAAGTAATTTATTGTGCAGGAATAGCTAAAAATATTCAAATGAGAATGCAAGATAGATGGTGTAACAAAAGACACCTATAAGAATAGTGCAAAAATGAGTGCTGGATAAAAACTTTGTAAGTATACAGTGCAGCAACATACGTTGTATTTCAGCACAATATAAGCAAAGAAATACCACTCCATCCTAACTTTGTGTTACAGAAACAAACTTCTACACTGCCCAAATAACAAGAGCGATGGAGCATTTGTAGAACTGAAATAGGATTTATGTAATACTCTTAACGTGACATGCAAAGCACTGCAACGTCATGGCTTCACTTGACTATGAGTACTATAAAATGGTTTCAGCAAGAGTTCCTAAGCTCAAAATGCAAAAACGTGTGGAATTGACATTGATTATCATGCGACAAAATAACATGCAACCCACTTTATACTATCTTACTGTGTGACAAGTTAGCACAAATCAATTTTATTTCTTGTACAGACTTTAGAGTTGTAGCCTTAAGTTTTTAGTAGAGTGAGTGTATTTTAAAAACTGAGGCCTGACTAAAATTCTTTATCCTAAAGGTCAAAGATACTTCACATTTCCAACACAATGAAAAAGAATAAATTGTATTTACAACTTCCCTCGCGGACCTCAGCTTACAGTGATAAGGAATCAAAATGGCCCGCCAGTCACAACTCAGGCACCACTCCGTCAAAGTAAGTGTTAAAGCAATGTTATAATGAGCATAACTGTGTAAAGCAGATGTGTATTGGACTGAAGCAAGTTAATGGATTGAAAGCTTGCTTGGAAAATATAATCCAAGGTTGCTTACCTGCAATAACTCCTCTGCCAAATTTTTCCCCTTTATCCAACAAATCTTGCACTTGTTTTGGTGTCATACCAAACCTATGCAAAAGAATTGCTCTCCATGTTTCATCTTCCCAGTCCTTAACAGCTATATGAATAGCCATGGTGCAGTTCTTGTAGTCTGCTAGCAAAGGACGCCAGCGAGTCTCTACTGTTTTGACTTTGTTTAAAACTAATCCTGCATAGGGTTGTCGGAAGGAAAGGCAACCAAATTTCATCGTTTTCCTTGCCCCAGAACCCGTTTGTTTCCTATAAACAAACAGACGCCCCGAGATTAGTCTTTACAAACGCTCCTGTCGCCATGACAAACTAATAGATCTGCCCGGGCAGCCGCCCTGACGACCAGGACGCTACAGCGAGCTGCGCGCTGCCCCCGGGGGGGCGGATGGCCCATTCCG